AGTGGAAAGTTTCTCTGTACTCACAAAAAATCAGATTTTTAAGGGGCGAGGCCTATGAGCATGATTTGTGACATCACAAATACTTTCGGAAGTCAATCCTGGTCCAGTATGACACTTATACAGCATGATCCACCAGTGCATATACACTGAGAATGTTTGTTGATGAGAAGAGTCTTAGACGTACTTTTTACAAGTTGGATATTCGCAGAAAAACAAAAAACGTGTCAATGTATCCGGGCTCAGCAGCCTTAGAGTGGCTGTGACAACAGGATCGAACGCAACCTCCGACACCATCGGACGTCAAGTGTTTTATAGCGGCTCCGACAAAGACTAGTTACGGCATGTTCAGGTGGAGGAAGTAGTTTGTAGCGAGTCGATTTGTAAGTAACGTTCTACATCATATTAATAAGTCTGCAAGTGTTTGTTTTTGTGAAATTGGAAGTTTTTTATTCCATGTTTTGAACAAGAAGTGTGAAGTTATACTGTGTTGAAATAAATTAACTAAATGTTCATTCTTCTTGCTGGTTGTTCTAACAAACTCAGAATCAATCGTGATTTTTATGTTATCATTAAACAGACAGCTGATATTTAAAGAAATTCAATTAATATCATAAACTTTGACAACTATTCGACTAGGAATATCATTCATTATTTTGCAGAAACACATTATTATTCCAAGCAGACCATTTGTATATATGTCTTAATACATGTCCGGAGTGGATCTTTAAATAATAATATATGACCTATAAGTAATATTAGAGTAAAACTTCAATATGATCGTAGACATACCTTTTCCTATGGGGGCAGCCAGTCCATTAAGGAGCTGTGACAGGGATTTGTTGGGCGACCCAGGAGATTCACATAAAGTTAAGGGTTCAGTGCTGAGGATATCGAACTTCCCGGCCTGGAGCCGGAACTTCTCCAGCTCTTTTGACAGGAGGTTGAACTGCTCACTCTGAGTCCGACATTTTTCCTCCAGCTCGCGAACTTTGGCCTGATGACGGTGAGGGAGGAACGTCAGCAAGAGAGGAGTGAGAGACAGAAAGAGAGAGATGGGACAGACAGAAAGAAAGACAGACAGGGGGAGAAAAGGATGGGAAACAAAGGAAAACAGAACAACAAAATAAGGAAACCACAGGATGCAGGACTGAACATTGTGCACATAGAAAGTACACACATACTGTATGTACAGTAGCTACGTATATAATGATATACGTCTACTGTCTACACACAAATAGAACATGGAATGACATTTACTGTCGACATGTGGATCAGTCATTACAGAGAAAAACTTCTGGAAATGACTAACTACTACTGATAGTGTAGTATACAAATACACATGCACAACTACAGTTAATACTAATAATACTGGAAATAAAAAGCCTATTGCCTCAAAGTAGTAAGCATATCCAAACTGCACAGTGTCTTAGAGGATGAGACTGATGGTATTCTACAATTTTCTCATTAGGTAATCCCTTGGAAAGACCAAAACCAACATTAATTTAATTTTAGTGTTGTCTCTGTAGCCAAAGTCTTATTTATATATCTTATTGCTCTGTGCCACAGAGCTCTGCCGTCCAAAAACTATTAAAGACACATCAGTGTTACTGTGGCTGACATGTTTATTTTAAGTCAATCCCACATATAGTACACCACCCTGCTGCTGCAAATACTCACTAGAGCACCAAATGTGTATTAATCCGCAGCTGATTCACTATTTACAGCATACTATTTATTTCCTGTTTGAGAAATGATTGCTAAAAACTATAGCTGCTTTTGGAAATTACTTTTTTTTTACCAGATGCACCAATACCAAAACCAGTATGAGGTATCGGTACTGATGCACTCCTATGTTAGTAACTGTAATCCTAATGCTTCTCCGATGCCGCACCCCATACAACTTTACGGCAGCATGATGTTACGTAACGTCTCGTTAGTTGCGCAGGTAGGTGGAGGAGAGGCAATGTCATGAGTTTGGAGATATTCTAAGCAACATTAGCAAGTAAAGAACATCTGAAAGTCAAAATCTGAAGTTATTATCTGTTTAACCAACTGAATTGTGGGAAGGTATCAAGTATTTTCATGTCAAACGTCCAAGTGAAGTCAAGTTGCAAGTTAGTGGTTACACTATTATCTGTATCTGTTCCACCAACTAAACTATCTGTATTCACAGCCTTACTTAAAAGTTACTTAAAACAAACCACAAGTCTGAAACTGACACAGGTTGATCAGAAATCACTATATTTATTAGAAAACTATCTCAAAATTGAGCTTCAGAGCAATGTTTTTGAAGAATTAGATAATATTTACATCTACAGAACAAGTTTTTTTTAATGAAAGTTGCTACAACAATACACATATTGACACATTTTTTGATACCCATACTTAAAATACATTATCTGTACCCGCTCAACCCTATTATTAAGTTCTTATATCAATACTCGGAAGCTGTCGTACCACCAGACTTAGAGGCAGCTTCTTCCCTCAGGCTGTGAGACTGTTAAATTCTTCCTCAACAGTTCATCATATATTTTTTAGCAGCATAAAAAATAAACTATATTCTACCTTGCTTTGTAAAAGGACCAAAAAATATCCTTGAATCTTTTTATTTGGTCTGAAAAAAGTGGTATTGGTGCGTCCCTAGAAAATATATAATATGTTATGGGGAGCGTAAATATTGTTGGTAGTGGTCTTTTCAATTTTCAAACATAAAATAACATCAGTCGTATACTTTAAGAGCAGGACTCTTCATTGCACAAACTAACACTGATAAACCAAACAAAACAGACCCTTTTCACAGCAGCCGTTTTCACATTCAATAGTAGGGTAAACCCAGGTGTTACCAGTGATACTAATTAAGGTTCAGATCCATTCAGGTGCTCCTATTGTGCATTTTGGCTCACCTGGAATGAATTAGTATCGCTGGTAACACCTGTGTTCTCCCTTCAGTTTCATGCCAAAATGGCTGCTGTGAAAAAGGTATTGTTTTGGGCAGGTATAAAAAGAAATTCCAGGTGCTTGAGCATGATTTCTCAAGTTGAAAAAACAATCACTTCTGACGACAGTCTCAACCAGAGATGCTCACTGAAGCTACCGTTGGAATTTTATAGCACTGCCCATAACACAGTAACGCCCCCCCCCCCGGCCACCACAGTACTGCCTATGCTGTTCTGTTAAATCCATTTCATGCAGACAGCTTGTTGCTGGATAGGACATGCTGTTAGCAGACAGACGACGAAGGAAGTCCTGCATTTGCGAAATAGAAATTAGTAAATTAAGAGGTATTAGTCGTAATAGCATCATACAGTTCTCAGCTGTATGGCAAGGAGACAGTTTTTAAAAACACATGCTTGATAACATACATGCAATGCTACAACGGGAAAGGATCACATTCGTCACTGTTTGGCAATGTGATCCTTTGGTGGCAATACAAAAGCTAAAATCCACTATATGCATCAATATATAGATGCAAAATTAAATTTAAGCACTCTAGATGAAAAGCGTTTAATTGTAAAATATCTATAATACATAAAGACTTTTTTTATGCAGTTTACTAATTAAATAGATTTTCTGCATTCACTCATCATAATTTTGTTGTTCACATCTAAAAAACACACACTTTGAACACGTGTTTGCTTTTATAAAGTTAAATTTGCTCGCCTCAATGTGTTGATGGGCTTTGATTATGTGGAATTGAGGTCGGTCAGTGAGGCCCCGGGCTTTCGTCTTTAATTGAAGTCGATCCATATTCTGAAACTTGACTTTACGAGCAGAATCTTTTCATCAATTGTTAAGCGAGTGCGGCTGAATATTTCTTTATGATCAAGTCAGAAAGACCTCCAGTTTATGCTGTCAGTCATGTTCCAGACTTTCAAAAAGCCCTCCCGCTTGTGAGTTTGCTTTGATGGGAAATGTGAAACAGAGCTGAGTGGGTAGTAAAGCCCAAGAAAAGAAGCAGCCCTGAATATTTCTGAAAACCAAAAAGCAAAAATCACACATCAGATTAGTTCTTAACTGATGAATGTCACCTGTTACCTTCTGAGTACCATTCGTATATTAAATCGTGTTCATCATCAATACAACACTTAGATCGTGATGAATAATTCTGTTTGTACTTCCAGGGCCAAAGTAAACATGAGGGGTACTGTATACCCTACTGACTATACTGGGAAAGGTGTAATAAAATAAATATATATATAAATATCAGGTAAATAAATAAAAACAATTCTGAAATACCTGCATGCTGTCCAAGTGGTTCTGTATAAGCATAAACACACACCCATTCAGTAAAAAGAGATGTAGGAAAGAAATAAAACACAATTACACATGTGATCACTCATACACATCTTTGAAAGCATTTTGTTGTTTATGATTTATTCACCTTTTGGAAAAAAGAAAGGCTATTCACACAAGTTTAAATGTGCACTTCACAAGTAAATCTAACAGTATTGTGAAAATAAATGTATAATCTCAGCCCAGGATTCATATTTTAAAGCATGAGAACTAAAAATAAAGGCTCATCTAGTGAGGAGGAAATGGCTCTAGGTATACACAGGTCTGCCCCGGGGCTGACTAACCCCCTATCCTCCAGAAGCAACCACATAAATACACATAGTCAAACCCCCACCCCCACCACCACCACCACCAACCCCAAGAGTCCAGACGCTCACCTCTAACAGATGGACAGCGCCTTCATGTTCCTTTTTAGCCTCAACCTGAGCCTGGGAAACACAGGGTGCAGTGTTTCAGTTCACTTTCATTTATAGAGCAGTTTAGTTTCAGTTTAAAACACCAATGAGAGGCGATTACAAACATTCATTGTTGCTCAGGGTGAAAATGGTTGGAAAGAAAGCCACTAACACTACGATGGAGGATGTAACCTTATTACACTTAACGCTCAGGATACTGTGGCTTTTCTTACACCATTTTCACCTTCTTTATTATAGGTTTTTTATCATCGACAAATATAAAGATGGACGACGGGACAGCTCTCCTAAAGTGAAGCCAAAACATCTCTATCGCCCCTTGGTGGCTGGTTGCAGTACAGGTCATAAAGCCCACTGCCTCCATGTTAGCAAATTAAGAAAAATCAAAATACACTGATGTTTGTTCATGTGTTAAGTGTTTATTTGTCTGAGAAGCTCAGTTTTAATCAGCTATTTGAAGCTATAAAAAGGGGGTTTCATGTCATGATTGCGAGCTGAGCCCTGCTTGAGATTGACTCGGCTGGTTGTGTGGGCGGACTTTGATACCGTGGCACCAACCTCCGAATGATGTCACCAGCGCAAGATGGCAGCAGCTGTCTGCAGGATATTTTGGCTTCTTTTTTGTACACTCAGAGATGCAACGTCCATCTTTTATATGTCGATGGTTTTTATGTTCAAGGAAGCGTTCGTTAGCCAGTTTACTGCTTTTACCAGAAGTAAAGACCAGTTGCTTGACCACATCTACAGCAGGGGTCCTCAGACTACCAGCCTGGGGGGCAGAGACGGCCGGAGGAGGATTTACATCTGACCCACAGATACATGTTTGATCTTTGGTTTTCCCCAATAAAGAAATTAGGGATGCACAATATGGATTTGCTTTTTATGCCTGATTATTAGATAACTGATAAATTATTTTTATTTATTTATTATTTGTATTTAAAAATTTAGTTTTTAAAGTTTAGTTTATTATTATTTTATTATTGTTGTTTGACTCTTCAAATGTTATTTTCATGTTATATTATTTGTTCTAGTAAAGTTCATCAAAAAACTCCACAAATATACTTTGGATGTCATAGAGCCCATCAATCATTTTGCTTAAAACTATTTAAATAAATGATTATTATAATTTTGGACTGTGCTGTAATTTAATTATCAGGATTTTTTGTAATGACCTCCCATTCCCTCGATAATTATCATGCATCCCTAATCAGTTAATTGGTACCACTTTATTTGTATAGCACGTCAGTTTATAGTAGTATAGTAGTAGTATTTGTAACATTTCAACAGCTTATTATTTAACAATTCAACTGTTTCACAAATAAAACTGTTCTCTGATACGACGCCACTGTGGTTAAGGTTTGGTTCGGGTGTGTTTATGGATTGTCACATATACTCAATCTGTTAAACATCTACAGACAAAGCGAAACAGGTGAAATGTTACAAACACTCTATAAACTATCTGTAGGCGGATTATCTAGAGCTCAAACTGGGTCTTAATAGACTGGTTGCACAGCAGACATAGCAGGAAACTCATAGATGTATCAATGATAGCTGCACACCACGAGGGGAAGTCCTGCTATGTGTGTGTTGGTTCACTGTATCTGTTACTGGGACACTTAATGTAACTGAGCCTTCCTGTGTCCATGCTGTGTAAGCAGTCCATTCACATGTAAAAGGAAGTGAAACTGACATTTTGGGAAATGCCCCATACCCTCGTTGTGGCTGAGAGTTCGATGAGAAGATCAATCCTACTCTCATGTCTGTCTGTTGAATATGCTGAATGTATATCTGGATGTATATCTAAAAAGGACAGATGTATGAGGTGGCATCGATCTTCTCGTCTCACCCTCTTTCACATTTAGCATGCAACACCCACAGCACTCTTCACAGCACACCTGACACCCACATGGCTCTTTCCAAAGCTAAAAGAGCTGCAGCAGAGACAGTTTCAAGCGACGTGAACTTTTGATTTGTCATGGCGTTAAATGCACCCGTAGAAAGCTGCCACCCTCAGGAATACAGGGTGTGTGCCCCACAAGTGCCCCTCCTAGGAAAGGACAACCTGGCCGCTGAGTAGGAGACCCCTTATATATGTAAACCTCTTTTTGCTACAACATATTGCACTGTAAGTCTGCAATTATTTCTCTTTATGTTATTATTACCTTCTGTAGATGCTCATTCGAACCATAAACATGTTGCCAGCATGTATGTTTGAATGGTTATTTAAGCAATATCTAAGGCTCTGTGCAAACAAGCATCATTGTGAACCAATTTAAAATCCATCCATAATGAGTTGAGGAGGCTTGTGCATTCAAGGGGAATAAGGTTTGGGTATTATAGAAGCATTGAACTGTATAGAAACGTAGCATGAATACACGCCATTTTTCTTATGGGAACTAAAAACATCTGTTGAGAAAAACAAGTGTTTCACATGAATGTGAGAGCATCTGTGGACTTTTACAATTTCATAAATCTACTTTGCAGGCAATTAATTTAGGAGAATGCAGAGAGCGGCCAGTGTCTGAAGCAAGATAAGGCAGTAATGAGCTTCTGTTAATGAGAGAAAAAAGCTGAGAACTCTGGCTGTGAAAGGCTGACTGTGAAGTTAGAGCAACACTGCAGCAACAGCAACACTGGGGTACACACAGTTTCAAGAGAAGGCATTGGTGACAATTCCTATCACGTTCACACTATCAGCAATCTCAGCCATTGCTGGGCTCGCTTTGACGTTACAGTCGGCTCCAGTGCACAGAGGAGGGAGGCCGACCATCAAATGGCCTGGCCCAGCATTTTTTGTTTAAGCAAGCCTCCGAAAAAGTGTCATATCTACTCTGGGGTTTGAATGTTTGATTTGCTTGCTTGTAACAAACAAGAGGAGTGCTCTTGAAATGTTAAGCACTCAGGGTTTGGAGAGTGATAGACAGCTGAAGGATGGGGTTAAGAGGATGCACTGGGAGAGCTCTAGTAGTGGCAGTGATCAAAATGAAGAGAGAGGTGAGTGCTGTAGCCTACAGAGAGCACTATTCTCTCCCCTGCTCTCTATAATACAGTCACCTTTGTTGGACTGTATGTGTCACATCAGTGCTCAGCAAAAAGCTCTCTGACCCATGACACGGGCAAACAAAAAAAGCCCAAACCTCTGCGGCCGGTTGCACCAACAGGGCTTATGCCTGGTCTTAAGCTAAGTTGGTTTTACACCTAGTCAGGAGGAAGTCAAAATCTAGGCTGATTAGCACAGATACAGACAGCCTCGAGTTACTGATACCTTCTATTCTGTGCCATGAATGCTCAAAGAGATGCCAGTCAACAAAGCTGTCTAAGAAATAACTGCGTGCGACGGTGTGCGCTGTACTGACTTTTATGTGCCGTTAACAAGCAATACAATTTATCGAGACATAGAGCAGCCAACACACTGGGACAAACAGACACAATGTTTGTTTTACACAAAGAAAGAAACAGGAATAATTGTATAAGATTTGCCAAATTCACAAGAAGGCCCAAATAATTAAGAATTCATTGTAGACAGGGTTTCACAAAGTTTATAAGGTTTAATCTTACTTAACAAATCATAAAATTGTGTAATTATTTAAGGGGGTCTGGGGATTTTCTCCACAGGCGACACAGAAATATACAGTTTTTATAACATTTGACATGTTTACAGACAATAAAATGTTGTCTTCTGTCATAAATACAGTGTAATTGGTGAAATCAAACACCAGAATGTGTTGGCAGGTATATACATGTGTTTCATCCTCCATAATGTCACAAATCAGAAAAGATTAGCTACAAATCCGCATCGAGAGGTAGACTGTTAACAACCTGAGTTTCCTTACCTTCTGAAGAAGGTCAATCTCCTGCTGCTTTGCATTGAGTACAGCCAAGGCCTGCTCATGCTCCAACTCTAGCTGCTGCCTCCGCTCCGCAGCCTCGCGCATATGCTGTCCGCAGGGGGTGCAGGGGTGGAGAGCCGGAGGGGAGGATTATGGAGGGGGGGAGCATAGAGAGGGCTGCTGTTAGTGGAACTAAAATCCAACGGCACTGAGCCAAATACAAAATGCATCTCCAGTCTTCTACCCCACAGTCAGAGACAACACAGGTGTTACATGTGCACACACATCACACATACAGAGGCTGGTTAACAGTGTACTGACCTTTAAACCCTTAAAAAACAGGAAAGACATAAACTATGCCACAGCAAACACCATGTGAGGACAGTTTATGTTGAATGATCTGCGAGGAGAGATCAGATCAAATTTTGCACAAAAGGTGCTTATGGATGAGGACTTGAGATGCTTTGCTGTGTGAACAAAAAGACTAACATCAATCCACAGTTAGGTTTGCTGCCCCCTTTAGGTAACACAATACCTGTTAGAAGTCTGGTTACTGGGACTGTTTGAAAAGCTGTCCTCAGCGATGTTGTCTTTGTGTGATCAATACAGGGTTTTACGTTACATGAAAAGGGTGAGCAAACTCCGTAGCGTGCTCACTTGTCTGTGGTCATCCATAACAACAAAAGAAGCCATACAATACAAGGGACTGAATGCTTGGCTCTTCATAGCACAATATGCTCATGTCATCCAGTCACATCACTGTTCCCGCTATATATGTGAATATTTGTCAGGTGAAAAGAAGCAAATGACATTTTCATGCCAGTAAAGATTAAGGTCTAAGATAGGTAATGTCATCAAACTTGTAGGTGACATTATCATCATGAAGGGTGACCCCCAAGTCTCTCTGTCTGCCGCTTCCCGTCATCATAAAGCCAAACTCTTTGTCCTGCCTCATGCAAAAATCACATTCCACAATGCTGTGGTCGTATAGCCAGGTGACCATTCATATGTCTGGTAAGCAGCCCACGGATATAGGGAGAGATAAGCACAGCCACTGAGGTGGACAGAAAGCATTCAGCAATGGGACTGAACAGGACTGCTCCCTAACAGACGGACATAGCAGTGATACCTTATAAATCTAGCAGGGGGGAGAGGGGATGGGGAAGGCGGGGAGGGACAAGTCAGGGAGGGTAGGACGACATGAAAGGGCGGAATAGGAAAGGAAAGGAAAGGAAAGGGGGGGCAGACTGCTCCAAGCTTCTACTCTTTCACAGCTCCTGGTCAGACCTCCCAACACGACACTGGAAGGCAACAGACATGTCAGGGACATTAGACAGTATAGCTGAAGAGAACCAGATGGAGGCAGTGTAGCACAGGTAGGAGAAGGGGTACTGGCAAAGGGTGAGGCTCCATAAAATAAAATAAAAAACACCCGAATTAGGATCCCGGGATAGACGGACTACGAGGACTTGAAATGCACACAGTATTGGGCAGATAGCAAGGGGGTCAAGTCTTCCCTTTCCTCACCTTGAGCACCTGCTCTAGGTTCTCCAGTTTGTCTTGGAGCTGGTTCCTCTCCCACAGGGCTAAATCTCTCTCCTGCGTCACAGCACCAAGGGTCTCTTTGAGCTTGGCATACTCAGACTTCACCTGTGCAGACAGAACAAGCAGGGAGCAAAGAGTTTGAGAGTGCAGCTGTACTACAGTCTTCTTTAAGTTTGGTTTTCACACCATCCTGCACTGATTTTTAGCCTTTTTAGTTCCTGTCTTTCTCAATTATTCTCTAGCTCCCCCTAAGTATGCAAGCCCATTTCCAACAATGTGACGGGAAAAAGGGATTCAGAAGTCATTATAATAAGAATCTTGCTCAAAATAATGAATTGAAATGAAAGTCAAAATATTGAGAAGGTTTCGCCGACCTAATAATAATCCTTTGTTGAGGTAATTTACTGTTACTTTGAGTTTTAGAAACAAATCTGTAAAAAAAAATATTTAATAAATTATAGAATTTTCACTATTTCATGATTTTTAAAGAAGAAAATTAAATTAAACATTTTTACAGTGTACTCTTCAGGTTTCCTTGTGTGCACATTTTCTCCCACCAACCCAAAGTTTAATGAGCCTCCACCCTCTTTGTTCAGTGTTAGAAAATTGTCAGATATAGTGTTCAACAAATGGATATACAGTAGATAATGTGTGGATTTATTGCTCTCTTTACCTTTATAACAAGCTGTTTATTTATTTTTGAATTACTTAAAGGACCAGTATTTAGGATTTTGTGGCATCTAGCAGTTGCAGATTGCAACTCCCTCACTTCACCCTCCTCTTCCAAGCAAGAAGGAGAAACTATGGTGGCAGCGAAACCTGTGATCAACATTAATGGCCCTGTCTATCAGTGTCTTTAGATTAAATTCTAAGGCAACAATTCATATATTCAGGTGATTACCTGCTAATTAAAACATACCTAATATTATATTTAATTTCAGCCAAAAGATCCTCCTAAATGCTACACACTGGACCTTCAAAATAGCTACAATAAATTTGGTAGTGTTTCTACCGCCTTGTTTCATTGATTTCAAGGGGAATCTGACCCAGTGGCAGGCATTACGAATCAACAAACAGCCAATCTTCTCTCTGATGTTTTTTTGTATTTGAGTCATATAGTGGCATCAGTAATAAATAAATCCAGACTGTTTCATTATCAGTTAAAAACTCCTGTAGTAGGTTTAAGTGCAGATGTGCTGCCCCAAAACATCTGCAAAGCCATTTATAAAAATGTGTGATATGGATCACTCATATAAAGCAGGTCTACTCTCTTTATATACTCTTTATAATATCAAATAATGTATGTTTAAGATCCAACAATATCATCTTGCAGTCACCTTTAAAGGTGTCTCAAAATCCATACCACCATTACGTAACCTAACCATAATAAAGTCAATGTCAAGCTTTACATTAAATGCATCATATCAGACCATAACAGTGTAATCACTGCAGGGTGGTGGTAGGCAAAAGTCTATGTAGCAAAAATGATGCACTCGCTAATTAGCACTGGCACAAATTTCCCCTGATTCACACTAAGGAACTAAAGATGGAGGAGAGTGTTACAGAGTCAGCATCTTACAAAAATAACTACTCGTTAGCTTGTGGTTTTATAAGTCATAACCAGCTGTCTAGCTATATATCTGTTAGTTTAAATTATATATTACAGTTATTCGACGGGATTCAATCACATGCAGCAGAGGCCCAATTAACAGATTTTGTTTTCTAGAGTGGATAAAATGTCAGGAAGACCATTCAGTATAATCCAATAACAGCACAAACCCTCTCAGCGGACTATAGAGTTGAATCAGTGCAGTTTTGATACAATATCAATAAAAACTGAGCATAATATGTTTAATAAAGGTTCTTCTGTTGCTTTAGATTGAATTCAATTGTGCAGCTGTTCCTATTTGTCAAGTAGTTGATTTTTAAGCACTCTGCTGTAAAGAATGATTTGCTTTAATGCCACAAAAAACATTCACAGCTTTTAAAACAGGCAGAAACTGTTGGGGACCAGACGTCGGAGCTGGCTGCTCTCTGTGATAAAAGCCTTTAAATATTATAATAACGCAACAGTAACATAATTCACTGACTGCGATGGATGCAGACCAAAACATTAATACATTATTCATGCTTCATTGTTAACCAAGCACTAAGCATTCAATTGACTGAAGCAATTGCACATTATATTAGCACACCAATGAGGTCTATGCTGCCATTATGAACAAATATCTGTAAAATGTGATTTCTCTTTCTACGTATTCTTTCATAATCCGTCTCCCACAGACCAAGTTGTTACTTAAGAGGCCGTATTTTTCAATCAGCTTTTTAAAGGCCCCTAATCGGCAGCGAAACAACTGGCTCCTGCAGCCGTAATGTGGCAAAGCCCCTTCCTCGGAGCAGCCATGAATGACTAATGATTCCTCGAGGAGGGCGTTTTCGACAGGCATCAGCAAAGCAAAACACAAACAGAAACCAGTGAGTCTGTCTCCGAACGGCCCGCCTCCACACAGCAAAAACTGCCCGCATGGATAGCGACTGTCAGCCCTAATGTAGACAGATCGAATGAAACTTACACTGGATTCAGCAAAAGCAGGTCAATAGCCTATTATGAGTAGAGGGAGGTGTCGTTTGTAGCCCCTCCTAGTTCATTCGGAGACGATAGGGATCAGAACACGGGGGGGGGTGTACGCTGGGGCTAATATCCGCACTGCCCTGCAGAGTGCTGCTCTCATATCCGTCAGTGTGATAACAGTTCAGGATAGCTGCTCCAAGAACCACCCCAGTCCCGATAAGACATCAATAACCAGCGTGCCGCCCTTCTTCACCCCAACAGCAACTACCTGTCAATCAGCTCCTTCAGGAAATTGCCTTCCTGTCCATAGAGAGAGGCCTGGTGCTCTTTGTTTGTTGATCTGCTTTGACTTTGTGTTATCAGCTCTGAAGGCCTTTGAGGTCTCGGGGCTAAAAGGAAGGTGAGGGTGTTTTAATGGAACTGGAGGCTCGTTGCTTTCATTTATATGCTGGAAATTGGAAAGAACAGCTCCATCTCTCCAGCATCCTAGGGCAGTTTTGGTTATAGTGTGACCCAGAAATCCATCTGATAGAGTGTTACAGTAAAGAGCAGAGAGGCCGTGGCCTATGGAGGAACAACGCTGAGAGTCTACGGGCACGTTAACAGCTCTGTGTAGCCTGTAAATGCTACTATAGGCATGCTAACATGCTGATGTTTTTCAGGCATTATGTTCATCATCTTAGCTTAGCGTGTTAGCATGCAAAACAACTGACATTCGCTGATGGGAATGTTAATAGCTTTGCAAGTATATTTTGTCATAAACCAAAGTTTTTAAGAAACTAAAATTTTGACCTGACGTTGGGGCTAGATGAAGTGTTATGGGATCACCAAAGCTACTAAAATTCATCCTGAGGGGGACGTCTGAACCACATTTCATGGCAGACCATCCAATAGAGATTTGTCCCTTAAAACTAGAGCCCCATCAATATGGGATTCTTGAGGCCAATACCGATTTTAGATGTAAAAATTCACTGATATGGAAGCTGTTGGTGAACTTTTTGAGCTGGACTGAAACATGGCGGTTCAACATGTAAATAAAAATGTTTCATTCTAAGGCAAGAAAACCATAATAATTCTTATATTCAGGTAATTATACACTAATGAAAACATACCTATGAATATAATATTATATTTCGATCCTCCTAAATGTTACACACTGGAGCTTTAAGTTAAATATCCTTTAACATGTTACATAATTAAACATATACATCAACCAATGCTAATTGACATTGCTCAGAACTTCTTCTTCTCCGTTACGCTGTGCTGCTT